GTAGAGGAAGGCGCCCTTCAAGAAGGGCGAGGGAGTTTTGTTCCGCGTCATGGCCATTAAACATTTGGTACAATGGAGCATCCATTGGAGGGGTCATATGAGGCGATCTGGTCTGATCATACCGTGCGCAATTCTCCTGCATGCAACCCTGTTCCACTTGACTCCTTTCAGAGACAGTGCGCAAGCCCACTTCACCTGAAGGCAGCCTCTCTTCGACTTGAATCGCGTGTAATCCCCCAGTAGATCCTTTTGCCTGGGCGCGGCGTCGGTGTCTCGCCTCCTCCCGTTGCTTCATCCGCCGTAACCTCAGGAAGCGGTCTCTGGTGTCAGATAATCAACTCTGGCCTTTCGCGACCGCCATTGTTTCTTTTTGGACTTCGCCGCCTGCACCGTCAAAAAGTTCTTGCGCCACTTCGCAGCATAATGGGTCTTAGCCTCAAGGTAGTCCTTCCGGTCCTGTCGGAGGGCGGCCTCCAATTCCGTTGTCGTCTTCGTCCACGCGTCCGGTATCTCAACCTTCTTCATCAATCTGCGGATTTTACGCGAACTCACCCGGCAACCCTTCCTCCCCTTCAAAAGAATCTTCCACAAGGATTGACGATCCCAAAACTGTTGCATCTTAGGAGACCAGGGCACCGATCCATTAGTGACCCGTCTACATTTTTCCTCCGCCTTTCGCCTTACGACGTACATCTGATGGTGCAGGCAGTTATAATGACGACCCATTGTTGCTGTCATGGTCCCTTCATTTAGTTGTAGTTGGTGATGTAGGGACGCCAAGCGAGATGGGATGGAGTATTCCTCGTAGCCCTTGTGAACGAGTTGCAGGTAGCGGCGGACTGCTGTAGTATCCAACATAGTAAGTTTGCGGGGTTTGTACGGGGTCTTCTGTGGTTTGTACCCGCCCAAAGATTTCTCCAGGTCGATATCAATCCAAAGACCACGATGGTTGCAGGAGAAAAACTCATCAAAGTTGTAGTAACCTCCTGCCTGTACAGTCACCCCAGAGGTTGTGAAAATGCCGTCGATCGGTTTGCCCCTTTTGTTCCGGTGCTGAGTGGCGGCCGTTCGACCGGGGTGTCGTTGGAGGATAGCTTCTTCCATACCAACATCGCGAAGACGTTGGCGAAAGGAAGAGGACTTAGTGGAGATGATGTCCTCATTGGCGTCGACCCCCAAAATTACTTCACAGCCTTCATCGCGCCATTGGGTGATGGCTCGAAGAAGGTCCACCATAAAGGTCTCCCTTGGTTCACGCTGTCGACCTTGGGAGCGAAAGAAACTCCGGTGTTGTGCCCACACGGTAGACTCGCCAGTCCCCAGAGGGTTAGGTCGGTACGCAGCCACCACAACCAAATCCCTAGAAAACCTACTCCTTGAAGCGTCGGAAGCTTTGCAAACTTGATCGTCTGATGTTGGCATTGCAAACTTCTTGCCTTGGACGCGTACATATGCCCACCTGCCCAATTTAGTTGGGTCCCGACCAAAAGATTTTGCACGGTGGGCAACTGAGTTCAAGATAGTTGCCACACATCCACCGTACTGCGAGCACGAGGCGATGGGACAAGCTCGGTTCTAATAATAATAATAACTGAGACATTAATCGTTAATATGCTACTCTATGGGCATTCGATTGCCGGTGAAAGATTTGGCTGTAAAGGTCAAGTACTGTGAAACGGTGAGTCAACAACAAGTTTGAACCATGTGAGGCATCTGTATTCTTGAACAGAAGTGGTTCAAGTCTCCCAAAGGGGTAAAGACTTCTCCCGCGACGTGGCGGGGTGAATTCGGGGCATGCAAGGTCCCGCGAAAAGTTGGTCAGGATCCAGGGATACCCCGCAGTTTGTCCTAGATCCGGGTTTCTATTATTTCTTTTTAGTCCGTGTGGTCATTTTCACCCTTTTCTGCATTAGTCTCTCATGATGAAATTGACTTAGGGCAAATTAAAAGCGACCAGTCGAGTGTTTAACAAGCAGAAATTGCGTTAATTCTTCCGCCACTGTTCGCTCTAGTTCGCTCGTCGTGCATTCGCCAAAGCGGAAAATCATGAATTGTCGTAAAATGCCGAAATTGTCGTAAATTCTCAACAAGAAATCTACGACAATTCTAACGGTAATTGAGTACAATTGACGACATTTCTGACGGTAATTGAGTACAATTGACGACATTTCTAACGGTAATTGAGTACAATTGACGACATTTCTAACGGTAATTGAGTACAATTGACGACATTTCTAACGGTAATTGAGTACAATTGAAACGGTAATGGGGGACAATTTTAACGGCCTTGATCGTGCTAACTGAACCGTTTTTTTTTAAATTGAAAATGTGAGCCTCGCTCGGAAGCAAGTGATCGGTGGTGCTTAAATCATTGGGATGGTTGGAAAAGAAGTGACACCGGAACAGGTGCTGATCTACGGATTCGAGACAATTGGCAATCTACCTCCGATTACCACTGATGACTACAAGGAGCACAACATTGGTGTTTTCTTGTCCAGTATGCGATGGACCATGGGCATCCTATCTTTGAAGCAAATACTGTACCACCAGAGTGAATAAACTAGGGTGTCTTTGAACTAAATACTGTACCACCAGAGTGAATAAACTAGATGTCCTATTTGTATGATGTGTCTACTCAACAGATTGTGATGATGTGTCGACTCCTCAACAAATTGTGATGATGTATGTGTCTATGTAAAAGTCGGTACGTCTGTAACAGCCTTCTTGACGAGTAGGAGTCGAATAACGCCTTTTAACAGCAAGCAAAGTTTTTTGTTGGTCCCCTTGGTCATTGCCTTGGAGTGTTCAAGACATTTTTAACGGTAATTAAGGACAATCGACAACATTTTTAACGGTAATTCAGGACAATCGGCGACATTTGAAACGGTAATTGAGAAAAAACCACGACATTTTTAACGGTAATTCATGCATCGGAGAATCTAATGAATGAAGGTTTTTTCACGATTGCTTCTACTT